CCAAAGGCCATATCTAACAACAGCAGTGTGCTCTAATGGGCCCTTGAGGACAACATTCAATCAGTTCAATCAATTTTATTTATAAAGCCCAATATCACAAATAGCATACGACATCCCTCTGTCCCTTGGACCCTCACAGCGGAAAAGGAAAACTCCCCCCAAAAAAACCCTTTAACGGGGAGAAAAATGGTAGAAACCTCAGGAAGAGCAACTGAGGAGGGATCCCTCTTCCAGGACGGACAGACATTGACACTACGCCTCACTACTTTTTCACAATTTTTACTTATGTGTTATGGATACTTGTGTTTTTTGTTTCACCTAATGGTTTTGTGCCTTACGTATAGCTTTATTTCATTAATTTTCCATTACCGCTTATCCTGCTGGGGGTCGCAAGGGGGCTGAAGCCTGTCCTTGCTGTCACTGGGCGAGAGGCGGCGTACACCCTGGACAGCTCGCCAGACTATCACAGGGCTGACACACAGAGACAGACAAACATTCACGCTCACATTCACACCTACGGACAACTGAGAGTCACCAATTAACCTGCATGTCTTTGGACTGTGAGAGGAAGCTGGAGTACCTGGAGAAAACCCAGGCTGACGGGGGGAGAACATGCAAACTCCACACAGAGGGTCTCTCCCAGCCCTTTTGCTGTGAGGCAACAATACTAACCACTGTGCCACCCTAGCTTTACATATGGTGTTTTGTAGTTATACATTAGCAACATTGCTCCGAGCCAAAGATTCAACTTTGAAATAGTAACGTATATCATATTAAATATGTTAAATCTTACTAAAAGAGGTGTTTCAACACGTCTAACACGGATTCATTTTCAGGGTTCATTGACATAAAAAGGTTTTGCATCAATAGGTGCTTTGATGGTACTGAAACCCAAACTGCTCAGATGGTTAACCTTATGTTTTGATGTGTGTAAGACATAGTGGACAGTCATATATTACTTTTACAACACTGTATGCCTACACTTTAGTTAAAACTGTGAATTTAGGAGAGATCAACCACAGATATGATATCCAATCCTTGAGTGATTCCGAGTGTGAAATTGGCTTTTTGCACAACATACATTTCTGTTTGTCACAGTGGGAACAGGTGTTACTAATAACCCTGGCATGGCTCTCTTTTAGTCAAGTGACCCAGTAATGCAGTGTGGCATGCCTTTAAGATTCACACCTATGTTATTCCTACCATGGCATGTTAAAATGTCTGCACTGAAGAAGGTCTGTAGCAGTTTATTCATCTGAAATTATATTTTGCTCAGTATACAAAGTAAACTATACTATATGCAAAGTAAAATTTAATTTAAATTTATCACTTCAGTGATGATACAGCAATGCCCAACTGAAAACGAATGTGGACCATGGGCGTTAAGTGGAGTGGCAATGGCCTCATCCCTGCTTCACAACCCCCCACCTCTGGCACCCTTGCTCAGACCACATCCATCTTTGAATCTGGCCTTTATTTTGACCTAAACTACACATTTGTAAAGTTTTGTGACTGCATCTTACATGGTGCAGACAGTATTGCATTGACGGTTCACACTTGGCAAAATACTCAAAACGGCTTCTCCTCACTACGTTTTTTCAGCTGGTAAAAAGCTTTTATAGGATACATGTAGAACAAAAGGTGCGGCAAACTACTATTGATGATGCATGCCTACCGTCAACATTGTCATCTAGGGCCCCATCTGAGTCCACTGCTGTTGTCCAGTATGCAGGCTACCTGAAAGTAATTATAAGAACAAAAAAAATGGTAGTAAAGGTGAGTCAGTGAAGTATGGAGTATGACTGGAAATTAACTTATGAACTGTCTTAAATGTGCAGTGTGTAGGATTTAGTGGCCTCTAGCAGTGAGGTTGCAGAACTGAAATTTCTTCCGTGTGCCAAGTATGGCAGAATTTATACTTCTGCATTGAATCGATGCCGTAGCTATGGCGCAGGATCTGCATCGTCATGAAGCCTACGCTGTAGCTTATGCCGCGGCCTGACATGCACTTCCCCAGAAATGTAACTACATGTCACAGCGACACAGACCTCCTGTCTATTTTTTGTAAGCTTGAACTATTTCCCTCAGTGGAAACAAAGTGTTTATACATTTTTATTTCACAGATAAGAAACAATAAATTGTGAAGACAATAAAACCCCCACAAACATAGCATTTTAAGTCTTGTGCATGATTTATCCTGGGTTCATATGAGCAGAGGAAATCTTCGCTAGCTGCTAGGCTAACAAAAATGCCATAGGCTTGTGCTAATAACGTTAGCATGCTATATTTGTTTGGAAAACATGTTTAGTATGACAGCTGTTTTGTCAGTGAACCTTGTGAGTTGTAATGGAGCCAAGTCATGTACCATTACCTTTGTTAAATATTGCTGTTGTCCCTGGCTTTATATGAGAAGGGGAAAAGATCGACGGCCGCTAGGCTAATTTAGGCTATACAATGTTAAATGCCATAGGCTTGTGCTAATAACGTTAGCCTGTTGTATTTGTTTGGAAAACATTTTAAGTATAAAACCATTGTTTTGTCAGTGAACCTTGTGAGTCTTAATGGAACCGAATTTTGTGACGTTACCTTTGTGAAATGTTGCTGTTGTCCCTGGCTTCCTATGAGAAGAGGAGAAGATGGCTAGCTGCTAGGCAAATGTAGCCTATATAACGTAAAATGCCATAGGCTTTGGCTATTAACATTAGCATGTTGCATTTGTTGGGAAAACGTGTTTAGTGTAAGAAAGTTGTTTTGTCAGTGAACCTTGTGAGTTGTAATGGAGCTGAATCATGTACCGTTACATTTGTTAAATGTTGCTATTGTTCCTGGTTTTATATGAGGAGAAGAAGAAAAGATTGCAGGCTGCTAGGCTAATTTAGACAATGTAAAATGCCATAGGCTTGTGCTAATAACGTTAGCATGTTATATTTGTTTGGAAAAAGTGTTTAGTATGAGACAGCTGTTTTGTCGGTGAACCTTGTGAGTTGTAATGGAGCCAAATTTGGGGCGGCAGTAGCACAGTCCATAGGGACTTGGGTTGGGAACCGGAGGGTCGACTGTTCAAGTCCCCGTCTGGACCAAAATATGGAGCGTGGACTGGTAGCTGGAGAGGTGCCAGTTCACCTCCTGGGCACTGCCGAGGTGCCCCTGAGCAAGGCACCGAACCCCTCAACTGCTCGGAGCGCCTGTCATGGGCAGCCCACTCTGACATCTCTCCACTTAGTGCATGTTTAGGTCCAGTTTGTGCATGTGTGTGTTCGGACCTGTGTGTAATTGACAAACAGAGTGAAAAATTGAATTTCCCGTCGGGGATTAATAAAGTATATAAAATTAAATTGAATTTTGTAACATTACCTTTGAGAAATGTTGCTGTTGTCCCTGGTTTTATATGAGAAGGGGACAAGATCACTAGCTGCTTGGTTAATGTTTAACCTTACAAGTTAAAATGGCTTGTGCTAGTACCGTTAGCATGTTTTATTTGTTTGGAAAAAGTGTTTAGTATGAGACAGTTGTTTTGTCAGTGAACCTTGTGAGCTGTAATGGAACCGAATTTGTAATGTTACCTTTGTGAAATGTTGCTGTTGTCCCTGGCCTCATATGTGAAGTGAAAAAGTTTGCTGGCCGCTAGGCTAATTTTATACAATGTAAAATGCCATAGGCTTGTGCTAACAACATTAGCATGTTGTATTTGTGGGGAAAATGTGTCCAGATTAAGACAAGTGTTTGTCTGTGAATGCTGCGATTTATAGTGAAGCTAATTTGTATACTTGTATTTGAAATTGTCTCTACTAAACCATATTTAATGTGTTTTTAATGTGTGTTTTGGGTTTGTTTTAAATCAACTAAACTTAACAGCGCTTCACAGAAACTCCGTTGCCAACTAGTGTTTTGGAGGTGTAACTGCAGAGTGACACAGACACAGCACACAAGTATAAATGCTCACAATGCTGTAGCCCTGTGATAGTCTGGCGACCTGTCCAGGGTGTACCCTGCCTCTCGCCCTATGTCAGCTGGAATAGGCCCCAGCCTACAGGCGACCCCTAACAGAATAAGCGGTTATGGAAAATAAATGTAATAAACACCATGAAAACAACCGCCGTGAAACAACATGACCCACATCCATTTAAAAGGCCTATACATGGCCTCTTTAGTGAAAGTAACACACAAGTAGTGTAATAAGTAACTCATTACACAGGGAGTAATATTGTAAAGTAACTTGTTAGCAATATGGTAACAAGGTAATATGTTATGCATTACATTTTGAGAGTAACTTGCCCAACACTGTTAGAAACTAATGAAAACATAGTTATGGATATTATATGCCTCTTCTGCCAACAGATGCCCTTAAATCCTACACACTGGACCTTTAAATGGGTGCATCGCACACATTTGGAACAGCTCATATGAGGGGGATGAATGGAAATATTCTGGTGTAGTAAAGTTTCGATCCCTATATTCAAATTACAGTGATTTGGGTGCATCAAAGAAATCTTAAAACAAACTGCAGATGATCCAAAATGCAGCAGCATGTCCACTCACCAAGACAGCTTTTATTTAATTAATTGGTGTCAAACCTAATCAGTATTTTTATGTGCATGTGTGATCAAACCTTATTTGCGCTCTCTCACCCTGTCTTTTATGTGTATTTCTCATTTTATTATGTAAAGCAGCTTGAGTTGCACTTGCTGTATGAACTGTGCTACATGCCTCCATGCTGTGATTTGCAGTTCAACATGACTGGCCTTACTGTTAAAAATCACTGGGTACTTTCTGTGGTTTTCTGTGTTAAATGCACCTAAATGTTGACTACTTATTAGCAGCTAATGTATAAGCTTGACAGATTTCTTCACTGGGTTTTGTTTATCTTTTTTTTACCCACCATTTTAATAAACTATAACAGACATCTCGTGCAGCAGGCTGCTCCCAGAGTTGGAGAGCGTTTCTGTGTCCTTAGGGCAAAAAAGAAACTTCCTGAAATCTTTGGTGGGGCGGGATCCATGTCCCGGGTCTCCCCTCCTGTTTGGAGTTTTTTTTCTCCCCTCCAGGATCCTGATACGTGGCTGTTTGGGAGAGCCGTGGTGACCGACAGTAACTCCTGTGCTGCAGCTAGCGGCTCCCTGCCCTCAGCTGCTGGGAGTCTGGTGGAACTCAGCGGCGGAAGCCTTCCTTCATCAAGCCGGCCTGGATGGCAGGGACACACTGGTGCACAGACTGCCGAAACCACAAGGTATTTTAACATAAAACATTACATTCGTGTGTGAATTTGATGTTAGCGCTTGGTCGGGGCTGACCGGCCCGTTTCGTTAGCACTAACTTATGTCAAAGTGATGCTAGTTTTAGCAGTTAAAACCGTTAGCGCTGATGTGCAGTGATTGCTGGTGTCGGAGCTAACGGCTGTAGCAGCGTCCACACGGCACTGAGTGTTTACTAGCTAACGTTAGCTGGCTAACTTTTACTCACAGAGTTAGCTAGTTCAGTGTATCGGTGGCAAAAGCACGGTTTTCAGTCACGTTAATTAGCCGTGTTGTTTGCTATGTTAACACCATGGCGTTTTAATTTTTTGTGTTTTATATTTAACGTTAACGGTTGTAGGATAACTGACACTTCACCTCATCGACTCTGTCCTGCTAAGTCCCACACAGAAATATGATGAGCTGCATGATTTTTAACACTTCTAATTGCCTGTTGTTGTGTGTCGTGACAGCATTTCAGCCAAAGATGAATAATAAGTAGCAGTAAGGTTAGCGCTAGTGTAACTTTTGGCTGCACATCTGGCCAGACAGCCACAGACAGCTGCTTGAAGGAAGCAAACACTGCAGTCTGGTATTTCTGGACTTTTCTCTCCCTGGCACAAGTTAGATGTTAACTCAACTTAGGCATGTGTTAACAACTGGTCTGAATAACATAAATTTACATCTGGTTGGTGTTAAAAAATAACACAACATTTATCTAGATCAAGCAAATGTGCAAACAAGCTGATTTCAGCTTTGTATTATGAGACAGAAAACTGAATATGTTAGGTTTTAGGTTGTCAGTCAGACATCACAAGCTGTTTGATGACCACTTCGGCTTTTTAGGAGACTGATAGCATTTTGTTCTGACTTTTAATGTACCAAACTACACTAAGATTAGCTGATGACTAAAATAATTGTGAGGTGCAGCCTCAGTTTAAAGGTGTAGTGTGGGGGATGTATTTGCAGAAATGGAATATAATGTCATAAATATTTTTGTGTATAATTACCTGAAAATAGGAGTCCATGTGTTTTCCTGATCACACAGAAAGCGTTTTGCATGTTGCTTTTGTTTTTTAATCGAATGCCACTTGTAAAAAAAAAAAAAAATGCTTACTGTGCCTTTTTATTGTTGCCAGGCAACCATGCCATCACCTCCTTTCACTAACCATCCCCTGCAATCAATCTGCTGTATATTTTTTTATTTTACTTTTTTGACAGTAAATGGTATCTAGTTCCTAAAATGGACAGGCAGAAGGTCCCTGCTGTAGTTGTGGTTGAGGGTGAGAGGCTGTCAGTAAATAGTTTGTTGGGCACAGGGAAACAGAGATCTGTGTGGGTACATGGGGAGAACCACCAGTTGGTCCAGGAGCTTTGCCTCCATGATGGCTGTTTCCAGGCATATTTAAGATGACTCAGGGGCAGTTTGACAACCTGCTGTCTATCGCCAAGCCGTATAGCTCTGGGTATCCAGCAACGGCTACCACCAGTTTCTCCTCCATTGTTTACCAACTGTAAACTTGATGACGTGGGGAGTTCAGAGCACTCCGACTCAAATGCTAGGCGCCTAGAGTGCAGAACACGAGGTGTGTAGCAACGCAAAAACAGCAAGCAAAAAGCTTCATTCACATTAAAATCAATCACAAAAAAGCTGCCTCCAGATGCTAAAATGCTTTCTGTGTGATCGGGCCCTATATCTACAAAGGGAGCGGGTCCGCATCTACAGAGATCACATGTTGCTCCGCCATGTTTCTACAGCAGCACAGAACGGTCAAACCAAACACTGGCTCTAGATAGGGCCATTCACCATTTCAGACACTGTGGTTAGCATCCCCCAATGAGAGCATGTCCAGTGGGTTGGATTTTTGGGAATGTATTGACTGAAATGGAATATGTACTTTTAACATAATAAGTATGTTTTCTTTAGCATATATTCGCCTGAAAATAAGAATCGCAGTTTTTTTTTGGTTACCTTGAAATGAGCTGTCACCTACATAGGGAGTGAGTCCTCCTCTAGAGTAGCCATAACGTACAAACCAAACACTTGCTCTAAATAGGGCCATTCACCTTTTTGCATTGGCCACTGTAGTTAGCAGGCCATGTTGAAAAAACACAGATTTTTTAAAAAGTGAAACTGCTTTATTCAGTTTTTTTTTTTTTTTTTTAATCTGTTGAATTAGCTGGCTCCATTTGTTTCTGGGAGAAGTTTCAGCTGGTTGCAATCTGCATACCTCACCACTATATGCTACTTAATTCTCCTAAATCATATGCACTGTTCCTTTACTGCTTGTTTCAAATGTTCATACATGCTTGAGAAGTTTCAGGTGGCTTGTTTTTCCTGAGAGTGTGCTCCTCTTGCAGCATTACTGGTTGCAAGTGCTTTTTGGACCGTGGGACAGATGAAAGGTGGAAGCTATAGGAAGCCCGGCTGGGCTGTCACTGCTCTGTGTATCCCAGTTGCCCTGCTGATGCTGACCTCCCGGGAGGCATCAAGCAGCCAGAAGATGACACAAACAGCTATGGCTCATGCAACAGCCACAGCTGCGGGATCAGGCCCCAGCCTGACAGATGACCTCCCAGGCCTCCGGGCAGTAGCAGGCTTCTTAACCAGCGAAGATGGTCATGTTTGGCTCTTGTCCCTGGTGGGCTCTGTTGCTGTAGGCCTCAGCGGGATTTTCCCCCTTCTTGTCATTCCCATTGAAGCTGGAGCAGCCCTCAAAACAGAAGGTAAGACATGGTTATACATTATGGTATCTATGTAACTGAAGAGAGGAGATGCCCTCTATATGACATTATCATTTTTTTGTTCATTTTTCTATGTACTCTACTGCATCCTGAGGAGCTAGTCATCGTAATAATAACAATATTTTCCATTTCAATATTTAAAATAGGTTTAGTATTTTTCATGCATACATGTCAACATGAACACAGATGGCACCGTGTAAATACTAAACAGGTATAAACTGACAGGAGACTGAGGTGTTGAAAGCAGAAGAGTTCAGAGTTCACATTGCTGCAGTAGGGAAATGTTTCTGCCTCATTAACTATATACATGGAATTCCAGCTCTTTAATGGCTCCATAGTAAATCTCAGCTCTCCTCACCCCATAATAAGAGAAAACAAACCCAGTGGGGTCAAGAAGTAGTTCAGCTGCATCTTTGACAGCCAGACCCAGCTGCACCCTCTTCATGGTTCAGAACTGTATATGCTGCGCACAAGATTCTGTGATATGGACACTTGAAGCTCCTGGAAAACTGCAGCTTCCTGGAAAACAGATCTTCAGTCATGTATTCCAGTGCATGTTTTTCTGCGTGACGCATGAACATGTCTTAAAGTTGAAGTAGGCAGTTGTCTGGGGGGAAAAAAGAAAAAGAAAAACAGCACAATTTGAAAATACAACCTCCTCCTGCAGCTCTCCCCATTCTGTCCTACATTGATTTATTTAACCTTATTTCATTGTAGAGCTGCACCCATTGTATTATCTAAGCCTCTCTTTTCCCCGTTCTTGGATTATTAGACCACAGATGAGACACGAATTAGCTAGCTAGCCCACCCCATGGTCCTTCCTCTTAGCTCCCCACCACTGTGGACTGCTTTGCCAGGAGGAGAGTGGAGATGGACTGTTGGTCGGCGGCTGTAGCAGCTCAGTTTCAACCAGTGCAAACCCCAGCACCAAGCAGCAGTGGTGAAGCTGTGTAACCCGTGCAAAGGCAGCAACACAGAGTTTGGTGATCCGGCATGTAGTCAGGGCCGTCAGGTCTCCTGGCACTGGGGTTTTTGCTTGGTTGAATCATGTTGCAGTGGCTGCTGACTAGGTGTGCGTCTCCGGAGTTGCTGTCCGTGCCTCTCCCGGCAAGGTGGTCTGTACCGGCAGGGAGTGAGATGGAGGACACACTGTGATTTGAGGCTAAGTCTGACTTATTGAACCATTACAGCAGGTTTTAGCTATCTGAAAGAACATGCATACACATCTGCATTTGTGGAACAGCCAATGGGATTGCCCTCTCTCTGAAATGACTTGTGATTGGCCAAAGTCTCCCATCATGCACTAGATTTTCTAAAGACTAAAAACAAAGACAAGAGAAGGTGCAGAAGTCTAGTTTTCTCTCAGACCATGTGAATTACAATATGCTGAAAGGTCATTATGGGATTTTTGTCCAATGAGACACAGAAAACAGCCTACTCCAGCTTTAAAGATGAAATGACAATGCAGGCTTTGAAAACAGGCTGCCCAGTAGGTGATGTAAATTAATTAAAAAAAATTTCTTCTGTAAAATGCCAAAATCAGTAGCAAGAGCTGTGGGTTGTACTAAATAAAAAGAATGTCAGTGAAAAGGTCAACCAGTCTGACGCCAAATAAAACTGAATTGAAAAATATACAGAGAAAAAGAAAAGTATAACAAAACAGGTTGTGTAAATAAAGTTGCTGTGGGTAGAATTTTAACACTCATGTCTGGCACCTCCAGAGGAAACAGGAAACAAAAATAAGAGTCTACAGCCAAGCATGTAGCTCTCTGATGCTGCATGGAGAGTGTTAATATCTTTGCAATACTAACACCTACAATTCACCATGAGGGGGACATCAATGCGTTTTCACGGACATCCATATATGTGAGAAATTTTACTCAAAACCAGAAATGAAAACTTCACGATGACACTGGACGAGGGCTCAAGGGATCCCCAAAGACATTAGTCAGGAAAGCATGAGTGTCTGTACAAAATTTCATGGCAATCCATCATACAGTTGATGTTATTTAGTCTAGACTTAACACCGACATAGTCATCCATTAGACACTGTAGCAAACAGTAATGTGCACTTATTTTGCCCAGTTCAAATACTGTATCTCCTCTGTTAACCAGTCCATGATGATAGCAGTTTCATCAGGTTGATTTTTGTCCCTTCAAGGCAGAATGAGTAGAATTTGTTGGTTGCGTTTTGTCAACACAGCATTCAAAGTTGGCCCTCCCTCCCTGGCTTAACGGCTCAACATGGATATGTACTTATGATCTGGCACCTGGTTGCTATGTCTTTACATGGTCACACCCTCACGCCCTGCACCCTGTTATTGACTTGGGGCTACACACCACTGCCCAAAGGTTGACGCCCAGAAACGTCCGAACGCATCATAATATGAACATACAGGCAGATGGTAGAATTTCTGCAGATTCAGACGCCGCTACACCCTTCTGCTGATAAGTGATGACTGAGAGGGATTATTTTTGTATGAGTATAGGTATCATTTTTTAGGGAAAATCCATCTAACCACACCTTTTAACTTGTGCTAGAACACAAAAAATCATTTTAGTCAACCTGTTTTTTTTTGTGCATTTTCAATTGTCCCATTAAAAAAAACAAAAACCTGAGTGGAAATGCCTCAGTAACCAGGCCTGAGTGACTGCAGGTCAGCCTGTGGCCTCTTGAATGGCCCCACCCACAGGAACGTGGCATTCCAGATGTATTTTAGGCCGTGGGGTTTTCAAGTGCAGTCCTGACCGGAGGTTAGTCATTACTGAGGAAACTCCTTAAGTATAAAAATGTTATGTGGAGCGCATGAGTAATCACTGCATTTATTAGTAGCCAGAGACACATTTGGGATTTGTGTGTGTGTCATGTTTAAAATTATGAATTAATCAGTAGAAAAGGCCACATTTAAAAAAAGGAAAAGGAGGAAGGAAGCACAGAGCTGTGAATTTTTATTTGTGGCTGTGATCTCAAGCCACAGTGAAAGAAGATCCTGCCACAAACTGGCCTGAGTGGCGTCAGTGTCAAAAAAGGGGGAATCACAGATGAAATAAGGTAAGATAAAAATAACGATCTTAATCCAGTAGATCAGTATTGAATGCAGCGTATGGATGAGTGTAGTGTGTGACAGGTGCAAACAAAACACAAAACCTCAACCAAGCTGGCTGGCGGTGGCCCGGGAGGAAGAGATGAAGCCATTTAAAGAGGCTGAGGGCCAGTTTACTTAGGTGAAGGCAGTTTCCTAATGTCCTTCCCCACTCTACCCACCGGCTCCTGACTCAGGAAGCCAAGCCAACCATACAACCAGCAGGCACAGAGGGAGGGATGTCACACTCACATTAAAGTCAGTGCACAGTTCTTCATTAAACACACCACACAGTAACTGCTACCTTTTTCTCTCCTCTCTTTCTCTGTATGTTTTAGCTGGAGGCCAGAAACTGAAGCAGCTCTTGAGCTTTGCTATTGGCGGTCTCCTTGGTGATGTATTCCTTCACCTCCTTCCAGAGGCGTGGGCGCTCTCTGGCTCTTCAGGTGGGTTTCCTTTCCACTAATACCATCGCCACCTTTGTATTTGAAGTGTTTTTCATTTCTTTGATCCCTCTTAAACATACACGAGAAGGAGATATAAAACTATATCACTGCTGCACCTTCTGGCATACAAGAAAGACTGGTGTAATGTCAGTCAACCTCATTTAGGAACAGTAGTTTCTCAGATATTGTTTAAATTCAAAATGTATTAATCATGCATTACATTGGTTTAAAATCTCAATATTTTTTTGCAATAGGATTGTGTTAATTTTTGTTTATTTGATGCAGCTCTTGGTTTAAAGGAGCTATATGTAAGAAATCTAAAGCAAATAGTCGTAAAATCATTGTAATATGTCACAGAGACTAAGGAATAATGTTTATATAACATACTGATCTCACTGACAACAATAGTACAGCCAGAATATTTGCATCTAAAAAAAATTTATGCAGTCCGCAAATCATGTTTATGTTTTGAATTTGTGTTTTGGCCTGTTGCGCCTGAGTCTCAGCATCAGTTACAGTTACGACTGAGCTACAGCAGCACGGCAAACAGCATTAGCAGTGTCCCAGTACATAGCATGAGCAGCCGGCTCCTCCTCAGCTGTATCCCGGCAGCAGCGTTAGCAGCAGAGAAGCTGGACTTGCTCTAACGGTCCGCTGGAAAACCGAGGATCAAGGACACGGCGACGTGGCCCTGCCACGGCAGCCGCCCATGGGCAAACAAATCAGTCTCCAGCGTGCCGCTGTCCAGCAACCTCGAATCTGTAGGGGAGGGGGGGCGGACATGACTCGCAGCAGTATTTTGAATTTGAGTGCAGTAACTGTTTTGGCCACATTCTTACATACAGTGCCTTTAAGTTATTATAAACTGAGCTTGTAACTTTTAAAATTACATGCACCATTTTTTTTTACCTGCACATGAGACCAATTTAATCTAATTTTTAATCATAATTTTCACTTATATTGGCAAGTCAGCATGAAGGTGTCGAAAAAAATCATTGATTCTGTGTGTGAACAGTAATATATTGCTGATCGGGTCATTTGTATATGCCATACAATGTGGTTTTCAGTGCAAGGAAATGCATCTCTATACAGATGGATAGGAACACCAGCACAGAAATGGCACAGAAGTTAATATTGAGTGTTTTTTGCCATCCAATCTTGTAAATATTGCTTATGGAGCAGACAAAAAACAGGACCAATAATGCACGGCAACAAATAAATGAGGAGGTTGGCCTGTCTGGTGTCACCAGTTTTGTGGAAATAATGTTAAAAGTAGGGCTGTCAAAATAACACATTAATTTCGATTAATTAATCACAGAAAAAATAAACACTGATAAATCACATTCTGTGGTGCCCTCTTACCCAGTGCATCATTGAAGGCGACAGTGGCTTTGTCACATGAAGGAGGCAGACGCTGCTCGGCCCAGTGAAAGGAACATTAACATTTAAAAAGCTCCCTGATGGAACTCTTGATAGGAGCAACATTCTCTGCAGTTCCTGCTGTAAGGAATTTTAGTACCCTCGGGGTGCTCTGAGCCTGAAATATCACCTTTAACAAAGTATTTAGCAGCAAACCCGGAGGTCTGGGCTAGCACAGCCTCTGATGCTGGCGCTAGCAGCCAGCTTTGTCAAGCCACACTTGACCAGGCGTTTAGGCACAAACTGAGTAAGTCTACATTTGACCGATTAACTAACTCCCTTACAAAATGGATTGCAGTGGACTACAGAGCAGTTTCGGTGGGAGAGGACGGGAACAGTTGGGTCCAGAATCCAGCAGCTTTACTACTTTGAAATTTTTTAAGTACTTTAACAGCAAAAGTTGTATGCGATTAATTTAGATCAATTAATCACAAAGCATGTAATTAATTAGATTTCTTTAATCCCTTGAAACCCCTTGTTAAAAGACACGCAGTCCATTATGTACACACTCTATATCTCACACAGCTAGCCTGCTACCAATGTTAGCTAGCCAAAAATGCCGTCAAACTCTTTATTTACTTGGAAAAAATGTATAAACAGAGCTGTTTTACATTCATCAGTCTGTCAGCTAATTTGTTTTTATGCTAACTTCCTGTGGCACAGTGCATACAGTCTTTCCGAAATCTGCTGCAAACAAAATTCCATTTGGCAAATTCCAGACCAAAAAAAAGGAAAACTGTAGGAGGTTGGAAACACATTGCAGATCACAGAGGTTCTCACAGGAATGAATGGACTTCTGGGTGACTTGCAAACATATACAGAGCTATGTGGAAAGGAGTCATCAGTCAGCCCTCGCAGCAATTAAACAGAGAGTCGGGGAGGTGAGCTCATCGTCCTCCTTCTTTAAACATCGGGTGAAACTGATGAAGAACATGCTGCTGGCTCCAGTGTAAATGTCAGTCTGATATCCAACTTCAAACTAACTTCACCTCAGCGTTTAAAAATGGATGTGCAGTGTTAAGTGCATGTAAAAAAGTCTGTCATGGTCGATGCGTGACAGTTGGCAGCTGTACCATTTTACGTGCACAAGTGCATGTGTGGCTGAGAATTATATGCACAGCTGAAATTTAACATGTACTACAATGCATATGCACATGGTATTTCGAGCCCTGTTAACAGTGGTGTTTATAGCACCCACCCATGTTGTGGCTCACTTGTCACTTTCTGCATTTGCTCACTTAGTCTTATGAACAATCTCTCTGCTTTCATCCCAGCTGGTAAACATAACCACTACACGACCCAGGGCCTGTGGGTTATTGTTGGCCTGTTGGCCTTCCTCCTCCTGGAGAAAATGTTCCCAGACCAAGACAGCCAGGAGGACTCCACTTCAGATGCACACCTGAATTTTAACTCCGCTGTAAGTGTCTCAGCTGAAATGTTGTTGTTTTTTTTAGCAGGTTACGCTCATTGCTGTCCAATGGAGCCTCGCTGCACACAGACGTGTCAACACAAGCCTCACATATTTTTGTTTTTCATAGGTATGCTATGTCTGTTAGTGTTTAGTGACTGTAGCATCAGATGACCTACTGTACAACGGGCTTATCAGTGATCTCCTCTAACAGGGAAGAGTTTAAAGGAATAATTCGACATTTTTTTGCCATTTTGTTGACACTGTGAAGTTACCAGGCAGCCACTCGCAACGGGATGCTACGGGGTGTCACTAGAGAGATTTATAGGCACTAGTAGGCAGAGCATTTGCAGTATGTAGACATGTAAGAAGTTTTCTTCACAGATTCAAGGTAGCACAGCATGACTGATTGATATACAAATGGTCATTTTGTGGGTTAAGTATCCCATTAACTTAAGTGTCAAAATGAGATACTTGTCCCAGTGAGCATCAAAGTTAACGTTTATTGTTCAGTAATGATATTCCAAATAGTGCAACATGAAATATGACTCTGCAAAACTGACAAACAGGTTTTTACCCGTGGCCTCTTTGTAGACAATGAATGGCCAGTTGCAGTCTGTTTGTAAAGGCTTTCTCATCCTCCCTCCCATCTTTGTATTGCCAGTGAGGGAGAAGATTGGAATCCACGGCTCAGCTCATCCACCAGTGTCTATTTATAGTGCCAGGGTGAAGCAGCTGCTTTAGCCATTTCAGTGTCCACAGGAGAGCACTCAGCTTATAGACAGAGGCAACAATAGATGGGGACAGAGTGTGACAGTGTGTGAGAGAGACAGATGTTAAAATACTGTGTGTTTAGGCAAATTTTCAAGGACAGTACCAAGGTAAACTTTATTTTACTTGAACTGGGTCAGTGTTTTTGATGGATGTATAACGTGTGTGTGCAGAGCTCCAATGCTTGGTGTAAAATGAGAAGAAGAAAATTTAATCACTGTCTTATTTTTAGGTCATTTTAAATTAGTTGTGTTGCAGCGACAATTTAGCTCCAATCTGTCTTACAGCAGGAGGTGATTGATAGCCCTGAAAAATCATCACGCTTTATTACTTCCTCATGTTTCAATCATAGACATGGAGCAAACATTTCCTCACTCCGACCAGAAGACAGCAGGCTATTTTCCTCTCACTTAATTTGACTATCAGCCTAAATGGCAATGTAAGTGGTTTCTGAATGAGGGAACAGGGAAGTTGGGCTGTTCTCGGAAAATGCAAGGCTGTAGCTTGAAATGAATCGGGTCTCTGTTTTTTTTCTCCTATATTTAAAATACAAATATGTTGAGCAGTGTTGGAATTTAAAGGTCATCTGTTATGTCTGAAAAATGAAGCAAATTGTTGATTGTTTATTAAAAATACTTTGAAGATGTATAAAGCAGAGGTTTGGTGAGAACACCATGTTCATTTTTGTCTTGTTTTTCTACATTTTTTCTCCACAGTCACAGTCTAATTCAGCTTTCAGTGGAAAAGCAGTGGCATCACTCAGAAATGGGCACCATGCTGAGTCATGGAAATCCTCCAAGCAACAGAGTCTGCAGGAAAGATCAGAGAAAATCAAGGTAATTCTGACAACCAAAACATTTCCACTTAACCAAAACGACAGAAAATATTTTTTTCTGAAAGACACCGCTGGGGGTAAACACTTGATATGGGTTGTTTATGTGGGGTGGCAGGAGCTCAGTCTGTGTGTACTGGTAGCTGGAGAGACAATTTTGGTACCCCTTCTGTTGGGGTACTGAGCACACAGATCTGGTACTAAAAGGTGGAGCTGTGAACACTGCAGTCTGTTGATTGGTCAGTAGCGGACGGTCACTCTGCTCAAGGCTGACTTGTGGTGCCATGTCTGAGGGGTAACTTTTGGTTCCAAGGGTACCATACTCAAAGTGTTTGGTGGAAACGGGGCTTATGACTGACCCTGCGCTATATGTGTGCTGTGCGGCGTAGTTAAGAGAGATATGTGAAAAAATGCATTTGAATTTTCTCGTGTGAATTGCCTAAATTGCCAATATTTTTTATCACTTCCAAAATCTATCGAGTTATGTAAACAGCAAAGAGCTAAGAAGCTAACTGTAATTCTTTTAATTGAGACGTCCACTAAAACACAGAGGCACAATTTAACAATTTATTACAAAAACAACAACACTGGCTGAGACACTTGTGGCACATCACCAGCAGCCTTGTTTTAAAGGGCTCAGATTGTAAAGATGGCACCACATGATCTATTAAGTCATTAGAATTACAACATATGAAAATGTACATATTGGATATCAACTGATCAAATTTAACCAGCATTGTATCTTAAAGAGAATGTTGTGACTGAGTAGTAGGGTTATGGTAGATACAAAATTTTTCCATCTGGCCACCATCAGCCCAAAAACAGACAACTGCTGATATATTTGCACAGGTGTGTGTGAGGCAAATCCCCACCCCACACCTGTGGTTCCAGCTGGGAGATGTGTCCAAGTGGAGAGTTTGTGATGTTCCACCAGCTCTCTTAGCTTTGATTAAACTCACAAAATGTTTAAAGAAATATTCTTACACCTATTTTCCTTTTTAAACAGGAAAATACAACTGCACACCTTCCAAACTCAAACTTCTGACTTTCACAACACAAATGTCCTTTTTAAACATATTGTTAAAAACAAATTTGCTCAAACTGAACCGAAATGAAATAAAACCTACCAGAATCATCTCAGTGAGTTTTTTTCCAATGTTTCAGCAATCACCAACTCTGGTTTGGTCAAAATAAACCATTAATGCATTGGATTAGATGTGACGGCTCTCGCTCATTCTTCAGAGGCAGATCATTAAATTAGCTGAATAAAATGACATATTATCAAATGATATATATCATTTGATTTTTGTCATTTTATTCAGCTAATTTAATTAATATTATATTTATATATTAATATCATGGTAATAATACACATACAATAATATAGTGTTAATTATCCAGCACCTCTTAAATAATTTCCGTTTGTTTATGTTCTCACTTTGTCTCCCTTCCCCAATTTCCCCAACTGTTTGGTTGACATATAAAACTATATCACTATTTTCTTAAATTAATAATTTTTTTTTTTTTTTTACTAATTTGTCATGTCGTCATGAATATTGTTATCACAAAAATACCCTGAAATATTGTTTTATTTTATTTTATTTTATTTTAGGGCCATATTGCTGACCTCTCATCATGCCAGTCCTAAACATGAGTGTGTAACACTGGCATAATGTTTTGCATGTTACAGATAAGTGGATACCTAAACCTACTGGCCAACTGCATTGACAACTTCACCCACGGACTGGCAGTAGCAGGAAGTTTCTTGGTCAGCAAAAAGGTAAGAAACTGTGATAATCTCAACACTAATAAGACTTAAAATCATATTTTTTTCTTGAAATGTCTATATTTCCCATTTAAATGTGGCTCACACACAAAACAAGATTAGTTTTTAACAATGAATGAGAGCTCCCACATTATTTTCCCTTGTTCTGCATATGGAGTAATATGCAGTATGTAGATTATGAAGTTCTGACAATCTCATTTGTGTTAAGTTTTTTTTAATGCAGCCAGTCCTTCAATCAGAAATTCAGAAAGTAAAACGTCCTTCTACTCTTATATAAAAACAGAACAGGCAGAGAGAGAGCACTGTAGTGTGGTACAGATCCTGGGCCTCAGTGAGCAGAGTTTTGTGCTGATAATGTGTATATACCTAACCACACCGGTTGGGTAAATGACTCATGCACAAGGATGTGATTACATTCACATTAAGTCCTCAGCATGCATATTAATACACGAGCCCCTGGTCTTCATAAAATATAATTGCAGGTGAAATGTTTCCCCGGGGTTTGCAGTCCAAATTAGCACACAATCACGAACTGACAATCATTGCTAATAAATATAGTGCTTAAACCGACACTGGGCTGTCTGTCACGTCTGCATGCAGGACCATTAAGACACTTATATACCGGTAAATATAGAACTTCAAGTAGCAGCTATTGTCTTCATAGACTGACCCCAGTTGTATAAGTATTACTTCTTCTTGACAAACAGCCAAGACATTTCCTTAGTTTATAATGATGGAGAAATCTGATTGTGTACCCTGTCAGATTCAAATAACTGGTTTGGGAAAGCTCAAATTCTGCCCCCAAAGAAAAGGGATAGGCTGTTAAATGTTCATTCAGTTTAAATATTAAGCTGCTTCGACTGTATTACTGGTCAGAATTTGGTTGTTCTCACCTCAAAAGATGAGTACTATGCAGGAGTGTTGCAAAATGGCCAATAAGGAGCGCTATAATACCTGATGAAAGCAAAGGACAAAAATGTATCTGGGGAATTTGGACATGTAACACCTTCCTTGTGAGTACAGTGTTTGGCAGCGTACGCAGGCTGACAGAGCAGCAGATCTGTTGTATCAGCAGTCTCACAGTCTTAAGAGTCGACTGCTCAGTGGACATTCAGTGTAGGATACAGCCAACTTTTTACAGTTTAAAACTTATTCGTCTTTTATTATCTTGGAATCTTGATTGAAAAGGAACACTTTAAACTGCAGTAGCGTGTATTTGCGTGGCTTTAGTAGGTTACTGTATGTTTGTAGCTGTGGGAAGGAGAGAGTCCAGCTGGAGAGACATAAGGCTATCAGCATGAACTATGGATAAATGTGCCAGAGAGGAAGTTAACTAGATTCCTCAAACATACACATACAAGACATCTCACCGGTGTTATCTGTTTACTCCCATGCGCATTTATCCCGATGTGACTTTGCCACAGTGAAATGCGGCATGAAAACGGACTGCATCAACGCAGTATCGAGTAAACATGAAGATGTCAGACTTCACAGTTGTTAATTCTGGATTGCTGATGAATGTATTCAACTTTGATCCTTTATTAATAAAGCATTTAAGGATGTCTTATCATATTTCCCCTCTGCAATCAGTGAAGTCTTATTTTAAAGGGAGCTGGCCAAAGCCCTCTGAGGCAAAATGTGATTTGTGATATTGAGCTTAATAGATAAAATTGAATTGAACTGAATTGAAAGTACCAGAATAGCCTTATATGGCTTAAACCACAGACTATATTACATCATTGAGTTACATTCACATTTTTTGGCCCCGCCTTACAGATTTGATAACTTAAATTTTGGGCTTTTTATATCCCCCTGCTTCCTGGACAAAGTTAATTATTATTATGATTATTATTAGTATGGTTATTATTATGATTGTTATGATTATGATTATGATTATGGTTATTATCATTATCATTATCATTATCATTATTATTTAATTAGACTACATTGTGCATTTATTTTTAATTTAATTTTGAGGTTTACAGATTTTTAAATACTTTAACTTGCACACATTTCTCATTTACTATAATATAATGTATATTATATTTATTTATTTACTATAATATAATATATAAAATACAATATATTTTTTATTACTATAATATGACATATATATAATTTATTTACTATAATATAATATATGTAATATTTCTTTTATTTACTATATAACATATGCTCTTTGACTGTTACTTCCTGAACATTTTTAACTTTTAATTTTCAAGAAAAGGTTTAAAGATTATTTGGAAAAGAATGTCATTAAGCTATATGATGCCTCATGGTTAATTTTTGGGCTTTTTTCCCCCAACTTTTGTTCTTGAAATTAAAGGTAACTATAGCTATAATTGATAATTATTAGTTAGTTGACTGACTTGCAAAGATTATCTTGTCCTTAACATTCTATGACATTATTTTGACAAAACATACTGACCTTTCACCCTCATGTGATGTGCGTGACTACACCCCTGACTTCATTCTGATTCACACAGTTGATGGATCTCACCATGCTCTACATGCAGGATTATAAAAACTTCGTAAGACTTTAAGCTGACACAACGTTACAGCTCTATAAGCAGCTCAAAATTCATACTCTGTCTTTTACATTTTACCTCTGTGCACTGTTCACTGCAGGCTGAACACATACAGTAGAGCTTAGCACTCAGCTCAGGTGCTGTCTGGGATGAATGTCATACATTTTTCCTTTGATACTACTGAGCACAAATCTTTACCACGTAAGACAAAGCATTGTTAACAAGGCTTTTCTTGCAGGTTGGGTTTCTAACCACCTTTGCCATCCTGCTCCATGAAATCCCCCATGAGGTAAGCTTACCACGAGGATCCCCCCTACATATCATTTCCAAATTCAAAGTGTGAGGGTTTACTTGAAGGTTTCATGTTTACATAGCAGAAAGTACATAGGAGGAATCAGACTGAATGTTTAGCCATTCCTCTATAAGGTGGGAGACTTTGCCATTTTGCTGAGGGCCGGGTTTGACCGGTGGAGCGCTGCCCGCATGCAGCTGTCCACGGCGCTGGTTGGGGTGTTGGGAGCTTGCTTTGCGCTGTATGCTCAGTCTCCAAAAGACACAGGTAAAAATCTTTAATCTTCAATTTTCAATCATATTCAAACACATTGTTATCAACTGGAGACCATTTTACACTTGCCAGAATCAGTCATGAGTCTTTCCTGCTGTTTCAAGAACATACCACTACCTGGATATTGCCTTTCACCGCTGGAGGCTTCCTCTACATAGCCTTGGTGAATGTGATGCCTGACCTGGTGGAGGAGTCCAGTTTAAGGTATGCATCCTTATGTGTGTTCATGTTACAAACAGAACAGGGACTCACTTGTAAAAATATGGCTACATAGTGCCATTATTGTCCAAAAACTCCACAGGAGACCTTTAACCTGTTCTGCAGTTGAACCGTGGTGACAGTGTAAAGCCCAGTTCAGACCAAAGATTCACAATGAGACAGCAGGGAAAAGTTGCAGAGGTGTGAACTAGGCGGTCTGAGCTCAACTCAAGTCATCTGATGGTGTCACCTGCAACTCAGCAGGTCAAATCGCTTGTGGCTGGTTTTAGAATGTAAAGCACTTCACCTGTTTTTTACAGCCAGTTGGCTTGTAGTGAAGTCCGCTGGTCAAGTCAATATGACCGCAGACAGCGTGTTCACTTGCGGCAGGTGCTCCGGCCCAGCTGAGCCCTGTTTCCATCCTCACGGTGTGCTGGTGTTTGGTGGTGGGTCACGGCTCATTGACTAATTTATTGGTGCTGGATATTTATCTTATTGTGGCGTATTTATTATGAATACAGTTCATCTGATGTTCATTTTGTTTCTGTTTTTCCTTTTTTCATCACTGCTACAAATGCAGCTGTAGCCAGTATCTCACTATCACTATCCTCATTCATATTTTAAGTAGCTACAAATTATATTCAGCCACAAAATAAGCCTGAAAAGCTGGAAATTGGAGTGGATGTACAGAGAGTTGTTGCATGCACCGTCTCATCTTGTTGCATTGGTGTGAACTGGCAGGTTTTTAGAATGCTGCAGAACGGCGTATTGTAAGTTGTTGCCTGCTTCAACTCGTCTTGTTGTGAATCCTTGGTCTGAATTGGGCTGAAGGCTTCAGTCAGAGTGTGTATAAGCAGCCTGGGAGGCTTTTTGTCATTGTTTTAAATGAGTGTTTTGCTCACTGCCTTTGCATTGTTGAGCATTTCTCGTGTTTTTGCTGGAGTGCTCTGAATGCCTTCAACTCAGAGTAGAAGAGTGCCTGACGTCATTTGCGTTTCTCCTGTTGTCCAATCAGATGAATTTAGAGGCAGACCTTATATGGTGGCACTGACAGAAAGTTGTTGCGCACATGGTTTGCTTGAGGCAAAAGTTAGCTCACTTTCAGCATCACCCTAGGCTGTCTGAACAAACTGTCCTCTCAACTACTTTCTGTTATTTTACCAACCATAATTATGCGACACGAATGACAGCAGATTGTCAAACTGTCCCCAACCCCTCATAAAATAAGCTTTTAAATTACCATCATCCAGGTGAAGCTCCTGGACCAGCAGGTGGTACTTTTTTTGGTCTCATGTGCCCACACAGATCTCCGTTTCCTGTGACCCACATACTATTTGGGAACAGCCTCTCACCCCCACTCAGAGCCAGACAAGTGCCCTCTCTGTCCATTTGTTATGCAGATTCTAAGGTATCTGTGAGTTAACTTCACAGCAAAAATAGTGGGTAAGCTAAGGACAGGTGATAATGTGGTTGCCTAGCAACAATTTAAAAAAAAAAAAGATACAGCAATACAACATGCTCTGTCTGAACGGGGGCTAAAGAGGACGTTTACTGTTGAACCAAACTTTGTGTATCTTGCTCTGTGGTGTGGAAATGTGGCAGATGGCTTATTTCTCTGATGTCCTTGAATCTGTCTGAATCTGAATCTGTCCCCTTTGTTTGTTTCTTTTTGTTCTACCAGGCAGTCCCTTCTGCAGATCCTGCTCATTTTCTGTGGCGTGGCCGTCATGGCTGTGCTCTCTGCCATTGTTGACTGAACACGGCATAAAACCCCCCTCTTGCCTTATCAAACACTAAAACTCTGCATTCTTTATCTGCCCATCATATCTGGTACCTTTCACACCTGGGGACTTTCCATCATGTTACACCAAAACAAATATCTGACAAAAGATCGGCACTTTACGGATGGATGACTGAAAGGAAGACCTCTTGATCTGCTGACAGGACATTTGTGTGGACACTTAAAAATGTGCCAGACTCAAACACCAAGGGAATGAAGAGGGTTTGTATGGATACGTGTTACCAAATTGTCTTATATTATTGATCAGACAATCATGTTGTTTTGCACATACATTTACAGAGGTACACCCTGATGTACCAGCTCAACAGAACAGGTATTATTGGACCTCCTTCTTTAAAATGTCTTCAACCCTGAATTGTTTAAACATTGTATGTATTGTTACTGTTTCTGATGTAGCTGCTGCATATTTATTGAACATTAGACAAGCAACATACAGTTATATCAGACATGCACCACCACCACTCCATCAGTTTGTGTTGTTAAGAAATAAGTGCCAAAAAGTCAGGGTGGTCTGTTACACTAGTCAGGTTTACACCAAAGTACAGTTTTTTTCTGTTTTGTATCTTCTCACACAGTACAGTCTGTAGCTTTGAGCTCTGCTTGAATACACAGTCGTGATTAAGTGGAAATGAATTATAAAAAAATTGGTACTGTTTGTTAATACAATGGAAACTGCTTTAAGTGATTACACATGTCTGGGTCAAATTGATCACCATGAACGGATGATTATTATAATAATTTTTTTCCCTATTTCTTTACTTCCAATTCAGGTGATTGACATTTATGTATTTATTATGTTAATATAAAGTAATGAAACAGACACCTTTCACCCTTTTGCCTGAATTATATGGAGGGCTCAAAAATACAGCTGTTTCATTACGGGGGCATTGTGTGACTGGGCATTATTGAGCCACTTGATTAGGGTGGATTCAACCGCAGGTGTTTCACTGGTGTGCATTTGTTTCTGTCTCCATCACAAGCAGCCTTGACTGTTCATTGGTTGAGTAGACTACACAGGGTCGCCTGAGGAATACCAAGTGTTGCTGCTGCATGTCGTTATCTTGTTTTTGGCAGTTTGTCATGACCTTTGAAGAGACTTTGTTTTTCTCAACGCAATCCCCAGACAAAATGTTGGCATTGTACAATTCAGCAAACCACTGTTATGTTACATTCCCATGTTATTATGTAGGGGATACGTTGAAACTTTTCCATTCAACAACACTATGGTTAGCATGTGGTTAGGTTTAGGCACAAACACCACTTGGTTATGGTTAGGAAAAGATCATATTTTGGCTTGAAATACCCAGCTGGGGGAACAGTGTCCGCTGGAAAAGCAGCAATGTCTCTGCAAGAAACTACCGCTTTTTGTGCCACAGTGAATTCTAGGTGAATAACAACCACTTGCACAGCGACAACTGCTTTCTGAACCACTTTTCTTTGTCAGAAAACGCAGCAGTGTCTTGACAAAGAACAACTGTTTTTCATGGTGCTATCACCGCTGGAAAAACAGCAGCAGGCTGCAACTAAACACCCAAGTTTGCTGCCGAAAAAGCTGCAGCAATGACTCGCCAAATCACACTCGATTTTGTTGTTTTGGGTCTCAATTGGGACCAACGCTTGGCACTTGTCTCGCCGCCAGGTTGTGAGGCATTTCGCCTCGGTGACACACCATCCACCATCCACTATCCACCATCCCTTCCTTGACAGCTCATATAGCTGCGTCACTTTAGAATTGTTTATATGACACATATGAACGTGCATATGTAAGCTATTCAGGGTTTGCAGAAACGCACAATGCGAGCATATTCTTCCAGTGACTGGGCTGATTGCTCATTGAGAGATGTCATGATTTCAATGAGCACACTTACCACATTTTTGATTCTTTTCCATATGTTGTCATGTATGAAAAGACTCCAAGTGAACACTGTAAGCACAGTAGATGATTACTATAAGCAAATTATTTAAACAGCATTTGTACAGGAATTATTCTGCCCCAAGCTTCTTGATCCATATAAGCATTTGATCACTGTAACTGTGATCACTATAAGCAGTTTCCACTGTATTCAGCTTTGATTTATACTTGTTGCCAAGAATTTTGTGAGACTAGGGACTGATAACTGTCAGAGAGCAGGATTATTCAGAACATTATGTTTTTATAAACCTTTTGTGAAAGTTTCCACCCTGAAGAAATAAAGTGTACATTTCAGACATCTATGTAATAAAAAAAGACTGCTGTCTATCACTTTAATGACAAAACACATGCTGGCAGACAGTATGAGAGCAGTGACGCAGGTGTTCTAATGATCTCAGTGGGATTAGGATATCCTAATATTGATTGGTGGACCCGTGTTTATGTGCTGAGGCAGCCCAGTGTGTTGTGACCTCGCTGAGCATATTTTTACTGCAAAGATCCTATGCCTAAAAATGTCATATGGGAGGTGGAGGGAGGGGGGTATTGATTGTGTGTTCACACTTGTCCAATTTCAACACAGTCTGTTTGGCAAGCTTCTGTTGCCATAACGACTCCGCCGCGGGTTGCCTTCCTTAGTCATCAGCCTGTGAGCAGCCTATTGTCTGTGGGAGCCTTCCTCAGTCACAGCACAGAAGGACAACAAACAGCCACTATGTACACTGTAGTGCAAATGCATGAGTGACAAATCTTTCATTGATACTCTGCTCAAATCCCATAACTTCATGGTTCAGTCCAAGTGCGTCTGAATGAGGATATCTAACCGAATTTGCTCAGTTGTTTTGTGGTTCTGCTCCCAAAATCCTGAATTGGTCTGTCAGCTTTTTGATTTAATTTCTGTGTTGAAGTCAACATCATAGCAGGATGTCATACACTCAAGCTGTGAACGCATCCAACATGACTCTACGAGTTATACACACATGAAAACAATTAGACATATCTGTGTTTCATGTTGTAATATGCTCCCGTGCCACCAGTAATCAGCTCCAATAAGCTCTGTAACAGATGGTCCATCATTTACATGCACTATTTCTAGCAATAAGGGATCAAAGGTGCATTTGTGTGGAAAAAATGAGGCTTCCTTTGTCAATGTAGGCGTTTAATCCAATTCAAACAGTTTTATTGACATGATAAAATACAGTATTAAAGGAAATTATAGTAGAAGAAAAAGAGTTACTGTAGTAATGAAGGCTATTTATGTATGTGCAGAGCACTTCCAGGAAAACAGTTAATATACAGTATCTTGTTTGATTAAAAATAACTTTAAATGCTTTGCTGAATCACCATATTGCTTTAGTAAACTTTAAACTATTGATTGAATCCAGCGTCAACTAAACCTGGTCAGATCTTATAAGTCACTGTTGTATTCAAATCTATTTTTTGCTGGTTTGATGCTCCTCGTATTTCTTTATCAGTCTCCTCTTTTAGCTTTATTTTTGTATTTGTCATGTTTTCCCAGTGTCCCCCATACAAATGAGGGTGCACAGCTCTCGTTGGACTTTCCTTTATTAAGAAAGGTAATTTGAAGGAAGACATTGTTTTAGGGAAAACCATAGAGGTTAATATGCTTATTTAAATTTATATGCTTATCTGTCACTTAGAGTATAGGTTTGCATTTTTAAGATATATATTTAAAGGTCCAGTGTGTACGATTTAGGGAGATTTAGTGGCATCTAGTGGTGAGGATTGCAGATTGCAACCAGCTGATTCTTCTCCTGGTTAGATTTTCTTCAGTGTTCACTGTTCAGGAGGTTTTAACCGGGAGCAGAATTATCTGCAGAGGTCTCTTCCACTTTAAAACACACATACCTGGTGATTTAAACCAGTGAACCATGAATGAACCAGTTTCACATCACAAATCAGTGTTTCTGCTATGCTGTTTGGCTGGTCTCAGATTGGACCCTAGCCAAGCCCCTGCTGATCTGTGCTCACTGTTTTTCTCTGATAACTTAGGATCCAGTTGTTCAGGAGGTTTTAACCAGGAACCAAATTAGCCGCAGCGGTCTCTTCCTCTCCAAAACAAACAGACCTGGGGTCTCATTTATAAAACAGTGCGTAGGAGCCATACTAAAACTGTACGTACAGACAAAAGCCAAACATAGAATGTCCCAAAAAGTATTCTACAATTTCTACAGTCACACTTCCAACTCACCATCTGTGTCGGCAATTTCCTGACTCTAAAATGTTTGCAAGCTTGGGTCAAAGTTTCTCCCAACAAGCAGTGTATTTATAGATCACAACTTTTGCATTGGAAGTGGTGTATGTCTCTTTCAGGCCTCATTTTGTGCCTACACAATGTTTATGAGACTCCCCGGTGATCTAAACCAATAAAAACTCTGAATGAAGCAGTTTCATATTAGAAAAATCAGTGTTTTTCCAACACTGTTTATCGCGATGGCCCTGTTAACAGTGGCCAATGCAAACAGGCAAATGGCCCTATTTAGAGCCAGTTGGTGTTTCTCAAAGTCAAGGATCCTTCCTTGGTAGGTCCTTCCAAAGAAGGATCCTACAGAGCCAAGGCAAGAGTCCTTCGTAGCATTTGATGAACACACATTAGAACAGGCTAATGAGTGTCCCCAGGTGTGGTTCATTAACCCTCTGGTGACTGAGGGGGTTTCAGGGTACTGTGATCATTCTGGCAATCTCTAATGTTGTTGTACAATTTGAACAAATGTAAGTAGTATTTTCAGAGTCACAAGACCTTTAGAGAGAATTTATTTCTGGATTATACTTAAAGAAAACAAACAGGTAGGATAAATGAAACTTTTGTGGCACATAGCGTCCCATCGATTAATTTCAAAACTTTTATGTTTTATCTTAATCATGGTATTTAAAAAAAAAAAAAAAACTTCATTATTTGGCTGGGAACACATTTGAAAGTGGAAATTCTGAAGTCTCTAACAGTATTTTTTATGCTTGTATGATAAAAGCTCCTGCAGATATTAATCCAAATAAATGACACATTCTAAATCCTGCCGAGCTCTGCTGACAGGGGTCATTGAAGAGGCCCCGCCTTCACTTCCAGCAAACCATGCACTAAGAATTGAAAGTTCTTTATACCTGCTGGGGATACACAGCCTATACATCCTTGAAAATTCTCTGAAGGAAGGACTCGGTAGAATTTGAAGGATCCTTGACATTAGAACAGTCCTTAGGTGGGATTTGATGATGTAGCATCCTTGAAATTCAGCCATTTAAGGATCCTTCCTTGACTCTGAGAAACACTCTGTGTTTGGTTTGTCCTTCATGGCTACTGTAGAAACATGGCAGTGCATCATGGCAATCTCCGTGGAGGAGGACCTGCTCCCTATGTAGTTATAAACGGCTCATTCCAAAGAAATGGAAAAACTACAATTGTTATTTACAGGTGATTATATGCTAAAGAAAACACACTTAGCATTGGTACATATGCGTACTCCATTTCTGCCAGTATAACCACCTAAACCCTACACACTGCACCTTTAATATTCAAACATGTAACATCAATAATTGACATTTTACATGCATATAATAGTCTGAGCTGCAGCTCCTCACATTTTAATCATTAAAATTGACATGAATTCTTCAATAAAGCAAACACATTACAATAAAATCTCATATATAACTCAGATTATCCAGGAACCAAATGATCTGCAGGGGTCTCTTCCTGAGGGCCTGCTAACTAAAGTGGCAAAAATGCGAATGGCCCTTTTTAGAGCCAGTGTTTGGTTTGTCTGTTATGATTACGGCTCCCTTTATTTTCAGGTGATTATATGATAAAGAAAACACTTAATCTGTTTTATGTATACGTAATCTATTTCTGCCAGTATATCCTACACACTGGACCTTTAATATTCAAACATGTAAGGTCAATAATTGGCATTTTTTGATAAGTATGAAATACTCTGAGCTGCAACTTCCCACATTCTGATCATGATAATTGACATAAAACCCACAATAAAGTAAACACACCACAATAAAATCTCCATTAAAGCTCCTAATTTTGCTGCTGTTCAGAAACTCACATTTTAAGGTAGGAAAATAACTGGTGATCGATTTTAAAGGTCAACTCCACATGATCAAATCCTCCCCCCACTGCACCTGTGTTTTACATATTTATCAGATCCAAAAGGTGACCATTCAAGCATCACAAATGACCACTCCCCCACAACAGAGCAGCACTCTCCTGCCTCCTCATCCCGCAACAAACCTGGAGGAGAGAGAGCGCAACTACATCCCTGCCCCTGCCTCCTCCTCACAGCGTTGGTCGCCATCCATCCCCTCTCCTCTCCTCCTCCTGTACCATAACAGATGGTGGGAACAACATTGCATCCACCGGGCACCACAACAATAGACCGCAGCATCCAGTCCAGACGACGCTGGCCTTGCACCATCATGCTCCTAGTGCAGGACTGCGTGAGGCTGTGAGTGCCGTCGTGATTCATTTCACGCGGTACCACCACGGCCACGGAGGAACCTTCTTGCGACTGTTTGGGCTCTCCATCGAGCGGGGAAGATGGCCGCTATGAAAATATTAACAGGCACAGGGCTCTTCTTGGCTTTCTGTGCGCTCGGGCTGCTCGCCATGGCGATTTGCACCGATTATTGGTACGAGACCGACGCGCGGAGACATCGAGAGAGGTGTAAAAACTATGCCAACAAGCGAAACGACCCAGGGTACATCTACATTTCAAACCACAACCTCCCCCTCCAGATGCCTCCAAAGAGCCTGGAGAGGAAAGGTAACGGCCCAGATGCTGGAGGTCTCATCAGGGGGAAGCGGCACTTTCTGGCCGCCGCGTCTGCCATGGAGTCTCATTGCAGCCGGCAGTTTAACTCCACCATCTCCGGGCTCTGGAGGAAGTGTCACCGGGAGGGATTCGACCTGGAGACCGAGGACCTTATTCACCAAGGTAAACACGAGCTGTCTGGCTTTTCTTGCGTGCACCAGGCCGTGATGCTCAGCGATGAGCTCACACCTAGCCTGACACAAACAGGATGGCACAGAGGCCCGGTCTCTCCTCTCACATCAGTGTGTCTGCCATTGAATTTGATAGCTTATAAATCTATGTGAGGATGTCTTTTGTTTCAAGCTTATGTCTCTTTTCTTTATTGTGCATTTCGCTGTCCATGGTGCTGAGTGAACCCCCCTTTCCCTGAGTCCCTCTCTGAGATAATGGCTGCTCCTCTGTGTTCTCTTTGCATCCATAAGAGACCAGACAACATCTTGCAAAGGTTTATGTCATACAAAAATGTGGATTTCACACTGAAAGAGAAGC